GCCCCCTCTCCCCCCAGAGAAAGCCCCTTCCCCCACCCACCAGGGCCCCACCAACTACTGTTCAGGGTCCCACGAGTGTGCATATCCAGAGCGGGCAGAGGGTCCCACAGACCCCCCCTGAGCCCATGGAATAAAGAAGCCAGAGCGAGAGAGGGTAAAATGGAATCTATAACCTTAAAGGATTCCCAGGGCTCACCACACTGGCATGTCCCAAGGGCCTTTCTCTAAAGACCAGATTGGTGGCTCTGAATGGACTTTCCAGAAGTTTCCCCACCTCAGGCTCCAAACCCCATCAGACTTAGTCATTCAGCTATAGATACCCGGGGGGCAGCTGGTCCAGAGTCAGACAGACAAGGAGTCAGGCCCTGTGTGTGCTCTTACAGGCTGTGTGACCCAAGCAACAACCTAGTGTTCTCGAGTCTTGGTTTTCTCCTCTGTCAAATGGGTTAATTGACCCCCTGTAATTATTAAATGAGGCTGTCATGAGAACGCACAGAAATCACAGACGTAAAGTGCTAACATACAGCAGGTGCTCAATAAATGCTCACCATCATGATGAGACATGCCCACAGCTGGGAGCCAGCCTGTCTGGGTTTGAGCCCTAGCTCTTCCTCCTCCAGCAGTGTGAGCTTGGGCATGTTTTACAAACATCTCTGTGCCTTGGTTTCCTCATCTGAAAACCAGGAATAACAACGGTGCCCAAGACCATGCGAGTAACATGCTGGAAACGCTTGGGCCACACCAAGTGTTGCTACGGGGACTATCGATGGGAGGTGAGAGCTGGGGAGGTGCGGTATGCCTGCTGGGTACCAGCCGGGTCTCACACAATAACACCCTTAGGTGTGGGGTGAGGAGAGGAGGGGCTACAGGGTTCCGGTTCAACCCAAGACAGGGGCCAGACCGAGGTGGGGACAGGGACAGGGAGCCTGAACTCACGGGGAGACAGAGAGAGAGAAAGAAGCTAAAGGAAAACTGTTCCTCTCCTCACAACACTTCTGACACCAGATGGGGGTTCTTCCCACAGCAACAACCAATTCTCCAACTCTGGACACACCAACCGTCCTATAATTTCATTCGGTTCTGAAGCTGACGACGGGGTGAATGTCAGACTACACAGGTCCCCAGGCTCAGTCCCACAAACACACCCTCACTTCTGACACCTCGGGTCCCCAGGCTACCTGCACTTCTGTCCAACCTGACTAAAAATTTGGGGGTTCTCTGAACCCGCTGCCTCGGCTTTGACAGTTTGCTAGAACAGCTCACAGAGCTGAGAAAAGCACTTTACTCACATTTACCGGTTTATTGTAAAGCATATTATGATGGATCCATATTAACAGCCAGATGAGGAGATACACGGGGTCCAGAAGGGTCCCAAGTGCAGGAGCTTCTGTCCCTGGGAGTCAGGGGACACCGCCCTCTCAGAACATGGATGCATCCATCAACTCAGAAGCTCTCTGAACCCCACAGAGTAGGGGTGCTTTGGAGGCTTCATTATGAAGCCATGATCGATCATTAACCCAATCTCCAGCCCCTCCACCTTCCCAAAGGATGGGGGGCACTGAAAGCTCCAAGCTTCTAGCCCAGGTGACCAGTCCCCACACTGAAGCTGTCCAGGAGCCCACCCAGAGTCGCCTCGTTTGAACAAAAGATGTTCTTATCACCCAGGAACTTCTAAGGGACTCAGGAGCTCTGTGTCAGGAACTGGGAGCAGTTACCAAATATCTATTTCTTATTATGTGACCAACAGCAGAGGAGTCTGAGGTCTAGAGAGACGAGGCAACAGAAGGAGGGGAGGAGAGACGGAATAGGAGCCCCAGTGTTACAGGGAGAGATGGGGCAGAGACACAGAGAGGCAGGGAGACAGGCAGACTCTCTGGTCACTATTAAATGCTTCTGCAGGCTTGCTCCCATCTTGGCTGGCTTTTGCCCTCCCAAACAGCCCCCCAGTATCTTGCCCTGTGGCCCCACAAACCAACCTGCCCTCTCTCAGCCCAGCCCCTCCAGGCAGGTGGGTCAGCCCAGGTGCTTGGGCCACCGAAGTTGCCAGCATGCCCCCACCCATGCCAGGCTGAGTCTGGCATCTGCCCAGGACCAGGCATGCCCAGGTCAAGGGGGCCCAAGACCAAAGACAACCCCCACCAAAGGGTACAAGTACTTGGGAAGCCAATACACCATGGTAAGGCATGCAGGCTTTGACAACCTAGAAATTTGTCTTTGAGGCCTGGTTTGTCCACCTCCTCAGCTCTGTGACCTTGGGCAATTTGCATCACTGCTCTGACCCTCTGTTTTCCCACCTGTGAAATGGAGATAATAATCATAATATAGTCCTTGTTTTACAGGGTTGTGGCTTTAGTGTGAGGATTAGATGTATATAAAGTGCTGGCACCTTATAAAATCTCAACATTAATAGTAAAAACATGAGAGCTTCCCTCTGGGGACAGGGTGGCCGAAGGGACCCAAGTTAAGGAATTAACTTTCCTTAATTTACTGGAACCTAAGGAATGTCACAAAACCTCTCTGATGGTCAATCTCTTCATCTTTGGAGTGGGGCTAAAACTCTTCACCTGCTTACCTCACAGGATTAGGGGAAAGTTTTTGATAAACTCTACTGTTCAGACAGTAGCATAATGGGGCCAGGCCAGTGGGCCTGTGAGTCCCCCTTCCAGGAAAGATGCCCAGCTCCTTGGGTACCCCAGGATTCCCTGGAGGCCCCCCCCCACTGGACAGTGGCGTGGCCCATCCGTGGCCAGCTGACCATTCCTCAGCCAGTGGCTGGATCATCCGTGCCCCCAGCTGGTGGGATGAGGATGCTTTCAAGTGCTGTCTCCAGGAGCTAGTGTGATTGGTGGGGTTCACATATGGGGGTCAGAAAAGCAGAACTGCTCTGTGGAAGGGCCTAGGATTCACCTACTGGGTGGGCTGAGCCACACATGCGGTGAGTACCTCATGGGCCTAAGGCCGCCAACAACCGTGATCACTACTAACTGATATGTACTGAGTATCAGGCAGTTTGCTAAGTGCCTCATCATGCATTAACATTCCATGATCATTTCACCTCCTGATGATCCACGGGGTTAACACGCTATTATAAGGAGTTCAAATCACCTATTTTATTTGAGGAAACGGACTCAGAGAGGCTAGGTAACTTACCCAAGGCTGCGCAGCTGGAAAGGATCCAGAGCCAGTTTTGCTGCCCGGATCTGGCTGTGTCCTCAGTCCTGCAGCCTCCCGTACAACCCAGGCTTATCTCAGAGGTGACACAGGCATGGCCTGGGAGCACAGGGCTGTCACGCTGCCCGGGACTGGTCAACATGGAAGGCATCACAAGACCGAGTGCCACTTTGCCCATTTGGCTGCTCTGTTATCTCCTGCCAGCCCCCTGCCCTCTGGGCCTCAGTTACTTCATCTGTACAATGAGGTTGCGCCACATACCCAGAGGCCCTTCTTGCCTCTGATTCACTCTGACATCCCCATCTCCATCAAATTAGTAATCCCATTTATGATGTAACATCAGAGCAGTCGAACTAAGGCTTCTTAACATGGGATCCCTGGACCCCTCGGAGCTCCAGGAGCTGCCTGGAATGAGGAGCAGAATTGTGTGTGTGTGTGTGTGTGTGTGTGTGATGTGCATTTTTCCAGGGGAAGTGTCCTTGTTATTACCAGATTCTAATCCCTAAAGGCGAAGAGCCGTTGATCACTCTAAAACCTTTAGAATTGCCCTAAGCTCAATCACAATTTTAAGGGAAATGGGTCGAGAAGGCTGAATCCCTACCATGTAAAATTCTTCCCTTCACTGTGTTTAAAGTCTCCTCAGACTTCCTGCAGCTGCACCTGCTCCCGTGCCCCAGGCTTCCACCCTCCGGCCACACTGACCCCTGGAGACCCCAGCCCCCAGTGCTTCCGATCAGTTTCTGCCTCTACGCTGAAGCTCCTCCTATCTGCTGTCTTGTTATTGGGTCCTCACCCCCATGTCCTTCCCCTGGAACCTCGGCGCCAGGACTGGTGGGTCTTTCCTGAGGTAGGTGCAGTGACCAGAGTGGCCAGTAGAGGTCGCAGGGCGGACAACCCCGTGGAGCATCCGAGGACAGAATTCTGCCCCCTTCTCAGCCTGGGGCTGAGGAAAGTGCACCAGCAGTCAGGAGGCCCATGTTCTGGGTCCGGATCTCCCCCTCGGTAGGCCTCAGTTTTCCCATCTGTAAAGTGGAGGGAGATGACCTAGAACCCCAGAGGGTTACTAAGCAACCTTTCTGCTGGGACATCCCCTGGACCTTGATGATTGATGCTGGAGGGAGGGAGGGGTCTCGAACTCCCTTTAGCAGAAGCACTTGACCCAGCATCTTTAGGGAATGAAATAAAATGACTCAGGGGGCCTTTGGTTTAGCAAACAGAGGCTATTGTCCTCCAGCTTAAGGGGAAGCCTTACCTCCTGGGGAGAAAGGAGGGTTCTAAATAGGTTTGCCCCAAGAGCTGCCTGGGGTGGGGAGGGAAATGGGGACCACACTGGTGGCCTCCCAGGATGGGCGGGGGCCTTGAGATGAGGGCTCATGGGGCCTGGGAGGTGGGTGGCAGCCTCCTTGGGTACAGCTTCTGCCCATGTCTAGAGAAGGCCAGGCAGGCCCCGGTGGGAAGGGGGAAAGTGTCCTCCTGCCCTCAGCAGCTGCAGGACCTGGGAACAGGGCTGGAGCGCAGATCATCCTCCTCACTCAGCTTCTGGCTCTCCTGTCCCAGTTCTTCTGAACGCTCCCTCTCCATCAGCTCTGAATTCTGGGCCGAGAAAGAGCAGGGTGAAGGCCCAGGGATGAGGGAAGGCCCTGCAGGGATGCATGAGGGGGGCATGACCAACCATCCCTCCCTCGACCTCCTCCAGGGGGTCCATGAGGACCAAGTCGTCTTAGGTACAAAAAGACCTTCTCCCTCTCCCACCCCCAAGTGATTAAAGAATGAGACACAGGCATGACAATGATACAGAACATTCTCTACAAAAGTTATAATGAGCCTGTGGGAGGGGTACTTGGTAGGGCAGTGGGAATCCCAGAGCCTGCCCCACCCTGGCACTGGGAGAACCGGGAGGAGGCTGAGGCAGGACACAGACAGGGTACAGAATAGAAAGGGCAGCACCTGGGGCTTGAGAAAGTCGAGTCAGCACTTGGGGGTGGCCCCAGGCCCAGGCCCAGAGAACAGGGAAAAGGACTGGGGTGGGCTCAGGGTGGCAGTGCAGGCGGCCAAGCCCGCGTGTGGGAACAGAGACCACCTCCACCATGGCCCCCGCTCTGCGCACAGACGCAGAAGCCCCAGAGGGAAGCTTGTGGCATTTTCTGGGGGTTCTCTAGTCCCCTGACCCGGCCAAGGGGGCCCAGGAAAGAGATGGGGGCTGTGGCAGGGCTCCCAGTGGGAGCCGCTTCCCAAGCTGAGGGTCAGGGACGGGGGTCCGCTGCTGACAGAGCAGGAAGGGCACACACGTGTGGGGGGTGCACGTGCACACACACGTGAGAGCACCCCTGAGTAGCTCTCCCACAGCCCTGACCTCAGGCTGATTGGAAAACCGAGGACACAGGCCTCAGGACACATGTCTGAGGGCCCCCCGGGGCTGGCCTTTCCCCTGGGCTCACCGGCCTCAGAGCAGGGACGCTGCTGAGCTCTCGCTGGCGCACTTCCCCGCAGAACCGTGCAGCTGCCCGGCTGCCCCCACACCTGGAGGCGAATCCACCAACCAGCCCTCCACACCGACAGGCACGCACAGAGCCCTGGGGACCCGGGGACAGTCAGCAGCTTAGATTATCCACGTCCTCAGGCTCTTCCATGTCCATATCGCACGACTGGCCCACAGAGAGGCTAGACCCCCAGCCATGCCCAGTCTCTGCCTGTCTCTGGCCTGGGAGACGCTGAGGCAGTTGGCCGCTGCCTTTCTCCAGCCCAGAGCACGCCCACCAGGCGGAGGGGCCATAATACCGCGGCTCATCGCTCTAGCACCTTGCATCTATTGCCCGGACACTCTGGGGTCCCTGGAGGGACCGGGATGGAGGCAGGGTGGAGGAGGGCATGGTGAGGAGGGCAGAGTCAGGCTGGGCCCCATCACAAGGTGAGCCGGTAAGGATGCCGGTCACCCCCGCCCCCCACCCCAGCCTGGCACTCCACCTCCCCAGCATGGCCAGTAGGTGAAGGAGAAGGGGGCTGGCTGTGCTTGGGACAGGGTGGGGATTAAAGTCAGGACATTTGGCTGAAGAGTCTAGCCAGAAACCTCCTCTCTAGGGTGTATGGGGGGAGGGGAGGCAGCCCAAACTCTTCCCTTCACAAAAATGTAGGAAGTGAGCAAGTCTCCAGCCTGAGCACAACAGCAGGACCCTCGGAGGAGGGGTGGGGAGAGACAATGGCCCCTGGGACTGGCCATGCCCGCCCCTCACACTCCCATTCAGCTCTAATGAGCCTGTCATCTATTCCCTGGGGCCCCAGGGGTCCCCCCCCCCGCCCTTCCTCTGGGGCTGGCTTCCCTCGAATCCACAAGTCCTTGGGGGCCATTCAGATGGGCGTGGCTCAAGGGCTCCGGGACCCCTTGCTGGTACCTCCAGGCTACACCTCTGCTGTAGAGTGTGGCCAGGCTTTCAAAGGAGATGACCCACATGGTCTTTGCTCCTGGGGAGGGGTGGGGGGGCTTCAGGGCTGGCGACTGTGAGGACCTCATGGCCCCACGGTGGGTTGTGGCAACTTGCAATTCATTTTGGTCTGGAGAGAGGAGCGCTCTGTTATCTGTAGAGAAAGACACAGAAACAGATTTCAGGTAAGGGCCTTCAAGATATCATTTTAAACCAAGACCAGCCTTTTGAACAACTAACCCTGACAGGCTAATGGTCAGAGATGGGGCCACTGGCCAGGGGGTGTCCTCCCCATCCCCTAAACTCTAAACCAGACTGTCTCCCCACACCCACCCCTGCCCAGCCATGCAGGGTAAAGGCCATAGACACCAAAAGGAGGCGGCAGCATTTGCCGGGCTTGTGGGACACCACGAGAAAGGGGTCGGGGCAGGGCCAGGCCACCAGCGTGGTAGCAGACTTGGGCTCCTCCTGACCGCTTCTGAATGTGACAACTGTCCTCCCATGGGAGTCAGCAGGCCCTAGAGCCACACAGACCAGGGATCAAGCCCAGGCTCTGCACTAAGCAGCCCCAGGACCTTGGGGTGAGCGGCTGGAACCCACTGAGCCTCCACTTGCTCTCCTGGAAAATGGGGATGGTACAGCCCCTGCATATGGAAGCTGGGGAGGACGCAGTAAGAGGGCACGAGCAGGGGCATCTCCAGCACCCAGGAGATGGGAGGGCTCAAGGCGTCCTGTCTGTGACTACTCTATTGTATGGCACTCTCCACACTGAAACACCCATTTGGGGGCATTTTGATATCTCCAAAATTGAGGTGCATTTTATTTTACATTAGCTATGATAAGAAGGCCTCCTGTCCTCATTAAATTGGCAGCTTCTTTTTCAGAATTGGGGGTAAACAAATTAAGTGGGGCCTCTTGTTATTGATGGGGGCTTAGATTTTACGAAATACGGTATTACCCCTCTACACACACACACACACACACACACACACACACACACACACTCCTTAAAAGGCAGATCCTCCCCTCCATGGCTCCCCAAGGCTTTCCAGGCCCCCTATCTCCTCATCCCCCCCAAGGCTCGGGGCACTCACAACTCAGTGTCTTCCAGGGCGGGCGGGCGCTCTAGCGCCCGCCTCCTCCTCCTCACGGCCCCCAGAAGCTTCTTGCGGGGCCCCAGGGGGACGCTGATGCTGCGGAGGTCAAGGTCGGAGCACAGCATCAGGGCCTCCAGGTCAATCTTCTCCTGCCGCAGGAGGGAGGCGAAGTCCTCCATGTGCAGGGAAGCCAGGAAGGCCTCCAGCGGGCTCGTCTCGGGCTCCAGGTCCTCATCCAGGCCCAAGTCCAGCTCGTCCCAGGGCAGCTCCTTCCCGCAGCTGCGGTCCTGCAGGCTGCTGGCACTGCCCAGGCTGTCGTCGTCCAGGCTGGGGGAGCTCTGCCGCCGGCCTCGCGGGGCGCCGCCGCCGTCCAGCGCCCCGTCCTCGCGGCCCAGGCCGAGCAGCCCGCTGCTCAAGTAGTTCCTGCGGAACACCATGGTGCCCAGGCCGGGGCGGGTAAACAGGGAGTCGTGGCCTGAGTCGGTGCTGACTTCCGAGTGGGCCGGCTCGGCCGCCAGCGTGGCACGGGAGACGCTGTCCTCGTCCGAGAGGAACATGTCCCGGAGCGGGGAGCGGCCCCACTCCTTGGGGTTGGCGTAGGTGCCCTGGCGCACGAACATCACGTCGCTGCCCAGCTGCAGGCCCGAGAGCGAGCGCACGCTCTTGCGGCCGTCCTCGGAGATCTTGAAGGTGCCCTCGCCGCCCTGCTTGCGCCGCTCCAGCTTCCGCTGGATCTTGGCCTTGCCCCTGGCCGTGCCGTGCAGCGTGGCCTGCGAGTAGGGCAGGTGGCTGCCCAGCGCCAGGTGCTGCAGCCGGCGGCTCAGGGTGCTGGACGTGAGGCTGGAGAAGCTGAGCGCGTCCGAGCGCTCGGCCAGCTCGCGGCGGTAGCGCCGCTCCATGCGCTCGTGGTGCTTGCGCTGCATCTTGGCGCACTCGCGGACGCGCCGCTCCGCCTCGCGGAAGGCCTTGTCCTTCAGCTTGCCCACCAGCTTGGGGTTGAGGCTGCTCTGCTTGGCCGCGATGGAGTCCAGGTAGCGCACGCACTCCATGTGGCCCTTCATGGCGGCCATGTCCAGCGGCGTGTGGTAGTCGTTGTCCAGGCACCAGATGTTGGCCCCGAAGGACACCAGGAAGGAGAGGCAGTGCAGGTGGCCATTGGAAGCTGCCAGGTGCAGGGGCGTGTTGCCCCAGATGTCGCACTTGTCTGGGTCACCCCTGCAGGGAGGACACGCAAGGAGGGGTGATGAGCCAACACAGTTTCGGGCGGGCAGACGGCCCTGGCTGCAGGTGATGCCCCACGGGCACACCAGCGCGACCCGAGGGCCTGAGACGTCTCCTCCGACTCCAGAAGATGCCAGATGGACCTGGGGGGCGGGGGAGGGGGCGGAGGCGGAAATGGCCCCAGACCTGCAGGGGGTGGGGCGACAGAAAAGGCGGGGCCAGGGCGGGGCCTTCCCCAAGAGAACTGATGGCTGGGAATCTCAGGGGATAAATATTTGATGCCCAGAGAGAAAGGAGTGAATTATTGATGGAGCCCAGCGGGGAGCTGGCCCAGAGAGGTGGTGGGCCAGGGCCGAGTCTGGGTCTCTAGGCAGGCGTGGTGGTGCGTGTGGCTGTGGGTGCAGGGGTCACCCTAAAAGAGGACACAAGAGAGTGGTGGGTGCGGAGCCTGAGCCCTGGGTGAGTGTGTGTGAGGGTGTGTGTCTGCGTGTCGGCCGGCGAGGCCACGTCTGCAGGGAGCAGGGCCAGGCCTGGCAAGGCTGCGTGTGAGAGCAGGTGTCGGGTCTTGGCCTGCGCTGGGAGGGGAGCGCGGGGGCAGCCAGGACCAAAGGGGAGGAGGAGGCAAGCCGGCAACCTGGGCCCAGCGGCCCTCCCTTCCCCGGGGCTGCCCCATCTTTGGGAGCTTTGTCAGGCAGCCTGGCGTGTGCCTGCCCAGGGGACCCACCCAGCACCCTCCAACACCCTCCACACCAGATTGTGCCCCCTTGGGCATGCTTCGGCTGGCTCCTCCAAGCTCTCCCCTCTCACAGGGGCCTGACCCAGCACCTCTGCCTCACACTAATGAGGCCACGAGGCCACCCCACAGGGCTGGAGGAAGAATCACCCCCTTGTCTCAACAGCTGCCCCCACAACCCCCTCCTCACTTCCCCTACTGGTCGCCAAGTTTTGCAGGACAATGTGGCAAGGAGCAGTTTGGCATCTGGCCCACACCCCATCCAGCACCAACGCTTGCTCTCTGTATGAGTTGGGGGATTTGGTGCACCAGGAAGGCACTCTTCGCCCTTCTTCCCATGGACCTCTCTGATGGGGGGCAGGATGGCAGGATCACTGCGTGCTCGCGGTGTGGAAAGGGGCCAGCCTGGGCTTCTCAGAACGTGGCTCAGCAGCCTGGTTTTAAGGGCTGCTCCCACCTGCTGCTGGCCTGAGGAGCAGCCTCAGAGGGAGGGTAAGGGGCTTTGCCACCCACCACATGTTCAGGCCACAGGCCAGCATCTGACACCAGGGCCAGTTGGGCCCCTTTCCCTCCACCATGATTTCCCAGGGCCTACGATGTTCCTATGAACCGTCCTCGGGCATGTCTTCCACTCCTTTTCCCTGTCCAGCTGCCCAGGTGTCCAGTTCAACCAGGTGACCTCTCTGTATAAAACTGTGGAGGCTGGCGAAGTTGTCCACAGTGTCATTCAGCCCCCGGAGCCCACATCAGCGGCCCTGGTCCCTGAATTCCTTCATTGCTACCTTCAAATCCCTTCCCTGGCCCTGACACCTGGACTCTAGGCACACTCCTCCCCCCAGACAACTCCTAAAGGAGGCAGAGTGAGCCTGCTTTGGGGGAGGGGCACAGAGGGAGTTAATGAGGCGGCTACACCCACTGACATTTGGTGTCGGGGACAGTGCCCATAAATCCCAAGAATGAGCTGGGAGAGCCCCAGCCTGCGGGGAGGTGCAGCGCCCCTCAGACCGCAGGCTGGGGAGTGGGCACTAAGGAGCCTCTCCTCGAGAGGCCTATGCCCCTTCTCTTCCCTCCCCACTCTTGCTTCCAGGTGCCACCCCCCACCCAGGAGACCTCTCCCACCTTCCCCTCACTCTGCAGCCCCTCCCATAATCATGGGCCCCCAAACCCAGTCCCTCCCCTCCTAGCCCCACATCCAGGTCACAAATGTCATATGCCTCGAGTTGTGTCCCCCTCCCACAACTGCCAGGCTCCAGGGTCCCACCTTAGGGTCAGTCCGATAGAGAAGAGGGCAGCTCAGAGGAGAGAGGGGGAAGATACCTTGGAGTCTTGGGGAGTGTGTCTCAGGGGCCAGAGGGGCCTGAACACTCTCTTTCGCCTCCACTGGGGGGCTTAGGCAGGGACAAGGTGGGTACTCACCCTCGGCTCACGATGAGACGCAGCGACTCCAGGTTACCATGGTAGGCAGCCCAGAGGGTGGGAGTCATGCCATCCTCATCCGGGGCGTTCAGCTCCTTCCTGGTGGCCTCTTTGAGGAGCTCCAGGTAGCCGTCCCGGGCCGCCCGGTGGTACTGGTCGTTCATGGCGCCTGACTTGAACCGGGTGGGCAGGGGGCGCGGGGAAATGCCCCCCGCGGGGGAGGGCGGCGGAGTTACGGCTGAGGCATGGGGTTGGGGGAGGGGGCCCAGCAGGGCCCGGGGCCGCCAGCCCCCGCTGCCGCTGACGGAGGTTGCGGAGCGCGCCGCAGCCGCAGCTACTCGGACATCTGAGCCGCTCACCCCGGGAAGGGCGGGGGGGGGGGGGGGAGAAGGATCTCCCGCTGCCCAGAGAGCCGCCCCCGGGTTGCCCCTGGGTCCTAAACACCCTGCTCCCGAGCGCACAGGGGTGACCCACGCGAGGCCCTGCCCTCGCTGCAAAAGTGGTGACCCCAGCGCCCCGCCCCATGAGGCCCAGTCTGGGGACAGTACGGGGTCTGTTCTCACTGGATCCCCGGCTCTGCGGCTCCCGATGTCTCCACCCGTCGAAGGAAGGGCCAAGGGCTGGGGAGGGGTGTCTGCGGGCAGTCTGGATCCCTAGGACCGTGGGCCTAGGACCGGTAGGAGGACTGACGCCCAGACAGCGAGGAGCGCCGGGCAGTCCTGGCTGCCCCTCGCCCGCGCGGGGTCGGCGAGCCGCGCTCCAGCAGGGGGCGCTAGAAGCCTGGACGCGGACTCCGCGCGCCTCTAGCGAACTTCCTACCCAAGCCCGACTTCGCAGCTTCCAGCGGAGCAGAAGACTGCGGGGAGGGAGAGAGGAAGAAGGAACTTCGATCACTGTGAGGGTGTCGGGGAAAGGGGCACTGGGGTCCCGATCTTGGGGCAGCAACTGAGGAGCAGGAAGGTATAGGGTGCGCCGGGGCTGGAAGGGCGTCGGGGTGCCTGCGGGCCTTTGGGGAGTCTATTGAGCATCAGCACTCGGGGCTCTGGACGGCGGGGACCGCGGGACGCGAGGGCGCGGTGGGCGCCGGGGGCGGGGTGTCCTCTGGGTGCCGCAATGCAGGGCTGCGCCCAAGCCTGGCCGCGCCAGGGTGACGAGACGGCAGGGGAGGGGGCGCCTCTTAACGGGTAAATATAAATCTTACCTTATCTGGCTCCCGCTCTCTGTTCCCTAAATTCAGCTCGGAGAAAAGATGGATCATGTGAGTGGGACTGAGAGATTTATGGAGCTGAGCTCCCGCGGCTGTAAATCACCCTGCCCTCCCCGGTATAAAGTGCCCGTCCAGCCCGGTGTGGGAGAGAGGAGACGCTCGTCGCCCCCTGACCCCCAGCTCAGCGCGGGGTCCCGGCCCAGCCAGGTGGGTGCCCGGACCAGATGGTCGACGGACGGGGGAGTGGGGACGTTGGACGGGGTCCGACGGGGCTGCCGCCGCTTCTTCTTCCTTCAGTCGTCGAGCTAGGGACCCGAGGGGTCGCCTTTTCTCTTCCCTTTCCTCCACCACCCGCAGCCCCCACCCTCCGGGTGAGGAACTTCTCAGTTCCTAAATCCAGGGAGAAGATGGGAGAAGGAGAGCCCTCGGGGTTGACCTGGGGTCCTGTCCGCTTCTCCTCCACAGTGACCCGTCCAACCTCCCCCAGTCGCCCCTGCCATGTCCGAGGAGTCGGCCCCGGGTCCCAAGGAGAGCCCGCTGGCTGCGCGGCAGGCAGGCTCCCGCGAGGTGTGGAAGAAGGGCGGCCGGCTGCTGTCCGTGCTGCTGGCCGTGAACGTGCTGCTTCTCGCCTGCACGCTCATCAGTGGCAGCGCCTTCAACAAGGTAGCGGTGTATGACACCGACGTGTTCGCGCTGCTCACCACCATGATGCTGCTCGCCTCCCTCTGGATCCTCTTCTACCTCCTCCGGACCGTGCGCTGCCCCGACGCCGTCCCCTACCGGGACGCGCACGCCGGCCCCGTCTGGCTCCGAGGTGCCAGGGGAGGTGGGGGGGGTGGGGAGGGGGCAGGAGAGGAGCCAGAGCCTGGGACTCTCAGAGGAATTGTGGAGTGCACATCAAGGTAGGGGGCTGAGAAATTCCCGGGGTGGGGGGGGGGTGGGCAGATGTGGCTGAAGATGAAATGGGCTGCGGTTGAAAGAGAAGAGGAAGGGAAACAGTCTTGGAAGAAAAATGAAGTGAGGGATGGAGGGGAACTTCTTTGCTCTTCCTAAAGACTGAAAAGGGGTGGTCATGGGAGAACCCTTTGATGGAGAGCAGAGAACTGATGACAGCTGCAACTGAAAGAGCCCACCTAGGGCCGTTCTTCCCCCAATCCATGCAGCCCCAAAGAGATAGGAGCTCAATAAAATATCCATCCATCCATCCACCCACTCAATCCTATACTCATCCTCCATCCACCCATTCATCTTTCAATCCATCCATCCACCCACCCACCTATCCATCCATCCATCATCCAACTATCCACCTGTCCATCCATCCATCCATCCATCCATCCATCCATCCTTACATCCATCCATCCAGCCATTTATCCATCCTCTCACCCACCCCATTCATCTGTCCATTGATCCTCCCACCTACCGTATTCATCTCTCCATCCATCCACCCAACCATCCAACCAACCACCCATCTAGCCATGCATCCTCAGATCTATAAACCATCCTCTCTGACCCATCCCCCACCCCTTATTCCCAGGTGGACTGGTGCTGTTTGGGATCTGCACTCTTGTCATGGATGTCTTCAAGACTGGCTACTACTCCAGTTTCTTTGAGTGCCAGTCGGCCATCAAGATCCTGCACCCTCTCACCCAGGCTGTGTTTGTCGTCGTCCAGGTGGGTGGGAGGAGTGTTCTTGAGTGTGGTGGAAAGGAGCCAACACCTGGCATGAGGTCAGAAGATCTCTACTCTTCTACCCTGAGCAATCAAGTAAGGGGGGGATAGGACTGTAGTGTGGATCACATGAGTCCATAAATCTGGAAGCACTTGGTGATTGAAGTAATATCCAAATGTGAGCTCCTACTTAGGGGCCCTGTGATTTCATTTCAACGCAAGCAGTGCCAGTATTAACATCTAAGATGTCTGAGTTGTGACAGCTGCCATGTCTCCTAGAACCTGGCTCGCCCTCCCTAGGTGCCTGTAGAGGGCACCAATCTCAGCCCAGGGTCCTGCTGTGGGCATGGCCGGTTTGGCCTCAGCTACAGCCCATATGTTCTGTATTTGTTCAGGAAATAGGTATCCTGTACCTGGAATTTTTCAAACAAGTTCAAGTATATATATTTTTATTTGTTGCATACATAACACGCTGAAAGATCTGATTGAGCTGAGGCAGGACTGGTCTTACATGGGACCACAACAGATCTCATCCCTGCACCATGACCAGAATGACTACATGTAGGGTTCCCTCTCCTGAAACATTACCCCTGCTGTGCAGATTTCCACAATTCAACACATTTATGACTGCGGTACTTATAATAGTTTTACCCTTTTTCAGTTTACGGATTTGAAGAATTCTCAGGTAAAATGAAAATACAGACACCCACACATCAACAAATACCATGACAAGGATTTGTTAGCAACCAGGGGAGGATTGCAGGACAACAAAGGATGGGGTTGGGGCAGGGGATGTTGCCAAAGGAAGGCGAGAAGGCACCGGAGATTCTCTCTACTTTGGACAAGATCCAGGCTTAGGCTGGCCTTGCTCCCAGGAATAAGTAACTAGACAGTCAAAACTCTACCTGAAGACAAAACAAAACAAAACAAAACACCAAGAGCTTACAGGTAACATTTTGCAAACTCTGAAAGAACAGAGAACTATTTTATACAAATTGTTCCAGAGACAGAGAGAAAGCTCCTGACTCATTTTGTAAAGCTAAAATAAACTTGGTAGGTTAGTATGGGGGCTCTTGAGGTGGAGGGAACATACTGCTGGGTTTGGACGTAGGCACTCCAGAGTTTAGCCTGTCTGCACAGTGAATGACCCCCACTCTCTCTCAACACAGACTTACTTTCTCTGGGTCTCCTCTAAAGACTGCATTCACGTCCATCTGGATCTGACCCGGTGAGTGCCGGCTCCACAGCTCAACATCCATGCCCCCCTGGGGATGAGCTTTCCAACCTGGGGCCTGGGGCCTCTTTCTGCACCCTGCATGGGGTTTCAACCAAGGCCCCTTTGCTCTGTCAGCCTGATCCCACCACTCTGTGCTGTGTTGTGTGTATGTGTGTGCCTACAACTCATATCTGTGTGTTTTGGGGCATGGGTTATATAGTGCGCTGTATGTGCTTTCCTCTAGGAGAGGGAGCAGCAGTGGTCTGAGCCCCTGGACACCCCCTGGCCCTCTCTTGGGTGGCATCCTGGCCAGACTAAGTGTTCCTTCCAAACTCAGCCTCTCTATTCACACAGGGGCCTGACTGTTTTCTTGCTTCCCAACATCATCTCCCAGCATAGCTCCCCAGCTCTCCATCTCCCCAGGGACCCACGATGGGCCAGCCTCTCACTGGCCTCTTTGCTCCCCCTCCCCAAACAGGTGTGGTCTCATGTTCACCCTCACCACCAACCTGGCCATCTGGATGGCAGCCGTAGTGGACGAGTCCGTGCACCAGACCCACTCCTATGATAGTTCCCACAGCAACGCTAGCCACCTTCACCTCGCTCCTGACCGTGAGTGTCCACTCCAGATTAAACCTGGTCCAGGGACTTCCAGGCCTTAGCCTGGGTGGGGTGGTTGTCTCCCTTCCCCTCACGAGAGAGGAGAGCCTCCTCCTGCCCCAGGCTCTGCCTCTGAAGAAGTATAGGTGTAGGTGACACCAGAGGGAGGGTGTCAGGGGGCATCTTCTCTTTCTGGGGGTTGCAGCCTTGGCCTCACTGTTCAGGTCTCCATCCCACCAAAGAAGGGATTTGGGCTCCAGAATGAAAGGGCGAGGGTGATCAAAGTGAAGGGCAGAAAAGGGAGGCAGAATAGCTCAATGGTGGAAGCACGGGTCAGAGTCTGTCAAGTAGAAGGTAGAAATAATCATCACAATGACAATAGTGACACTTTACCGAGCTCCATGTGTCAGGTGCTGTGCTAAGTGTCCTAAACACTCTACCTTACTTAACCCTCACAACTTCCTAATGAGATGGGTACTATTTTTTTTTTTTTTAGAGAAAGAGAGAGAGAGCGGGGTGGTGGGGGCAGAGGGAGGAAGAGAATCTTAAGCAGACTCCTCACTGAGCCCAGAACCTGGCGCAGGGCTTGATCTCACAACCCTGAGATCATGACCTGAGCCGAAATCAAGAGTCAGAGGCTTAATCAAATGAGC